GTACTGGGCGCTGCACTTCAAAAGGATTGTGGCCAGCCTGGAGAGGGTTCAGAGGAAGGCACCCGCTTGGTGAGAGGGCAGCAGGATAGGCCCTATGAGGACAGACTGAGGGACCAGAACCTGTTCAGCCTCAGCAAGAGGAGGCTGAGGGTGGACCTGGTGGCTGCCTACAAACTCATCAGGAGAGATCAACAGCAAATAGGTAGAGCCCTTTTCTCCCCAGCACCACCTGGGGTGACGAGTAACAATGGTAATAAGCTGATGGAGAATAGGTTCAGGTTAGAGATCAGAAGGTAATATTTTACAGTTAGGGTGGCCAAAATCTGGAACCAACTTCCCAGGGAAGTGGTCCTCGCCCCTACCTTGGGCAAATTCAAGAGGAGGTTGGATGATCACCTGTCTGGGGTCTTGTGAACCCAGCATTCATTCCTGCCTGTGGCAGGGCGTCAGGCTAGATGATCTGTTCAGGTCCCTCCTGACCCTAGCTACTATGAAACTATGAAACCCACAGTATAACAACTATTGCATAGAACGTGTATAAAATGAGGGATAATTTTTGGAAGATAAAAAAATCAGTTCCATTAAATTTATGTACATTTTTATCATTACTATTTGTTTAGTGGATGTGTATATACATGTCACTCATAAACTTACCTCTCTGAGTTTGGCTCTAAATAATTCCATGCAATTTTCAATATAGTACAACTTCTTAATTACAGCAAATTAATGATCTCATGCTGAATGTAGCTACAAGAAGGAAGTAGTGGAATTAAAGAATGTATCACTACCAAGTTATTAATATGGCTAATAGAAACCAAGTACTTCAATACCAAATACACTGTGGGCATGTCTACACGTGCATTTAAGCATGCCTAAATTTAATGCACATTAACTTAATGTGCATTAAGCAAATTTAGGCAGGTGTCTACATGTGCAGGCCTTAAAGCACATTAGTGCTGTGTGTGGACTGACTTGGGACAGCATTAATGCACTTTAACACATCTACATGTTCATTGACACACTTTAATTATTTACACCTAAATTTGATACTGGCATTTGCAATTATCAAATTTAGGCACCAATAGCCTAAATTCACCATTTTAATGTGCATTACGGGCATGCATGTGCAGATGTGTGCCCTTAATTGTACATTAGCTTAGGCTAAGGAGTATTAAAGTGTCACATGTAGATGTGCCCTGTATCACCTAGCTGTCTTTAAAAAAATTACATACTATCACATGAAAAAAAAATCCAAAATGAAATAAATATAAGAGCAAATGAATCATCAAACCATCACTGAGGTAAGACTATTAAGCACAGACAACATGACAAAGATCTTTCACAGGTGTCTGTTGGCATAACTTCAGCCGATTCTGTTGAGTCAGTGGATGCTTTGGCCTCATTGAAACAGCCTACCTTAGAGGTGGCTAAATATAGATTTAGCAACTTAATATTTTGCACTGAAGTCTGAAAATTTTGCAGTAAGTTCCTGACTGTTCATGCCATATTTGTGCATGCAAAATGTAGTTCAATCTGTACACACATGCAGCTGGTCTCCCAAATATATTTTAACTTACAGTATGAAAATTTGGCCCCCGATGCAATAATCACTGTACATGGGATTTTCTGCATTATGATTTTACGAACTCTTCAAAATCCCAGAAGTGAGGTGCAGGGGAATTTCAAAGGAATAGAAAATAGATTTTAAAACAAACCTAACCCAGAGACTAGTTTCTTATGGTGCACATGAGCAAATTAACTAAAAGTAGTTAGTTACTTTCTCATTTTATTTTACTCAGAGCTTCAGTGATTCCAATAACATTTGATAGGGATAAACAATATACTGTAATAAATTATGCTGGACTTACAAAAACAACCCATAAAAATAGTTTGCTATTTATTTTATCAGGCTTTTCAGCAACAAAATAATTTTTTAATTAAAATCTCATAAATTCAGTATAATTTTTTTCCCTGATGAGACTTCTGGACAGCTACCAATCCATAATGCAAAAATGCGGGCTTGAATCTTCACTCTGTTGCAGCAGCAGTTTGAGATCAGCATAGTTCTTTTGTCTTCATTGGAGTTACATTGATGTAAGAAACAGTGAAGTAATGGGCCCTTTGTCTATAACTCTCCCTCTTTATCTATGTGCTTCATGGGGCCTGACTGTCAAAAGATCTGGTGAGTAATTGTACATGTAGTGTGCACACACAATTACTGCAGATTGTACATGACAAATGTTTGTACCTGCAAATAGTGAACTGTGGCCTCAGCAGACTGGAGACTGGTCCCATAGTGTCCTTTTTTGGGAAATGACTTTGCAATTGGGAAATTTCCTCTCATTCTTCCCTTGTGTAGAAGGAATTTCCACTTGTGAGGTCCTGCCAGAGGTAACAGCCAGCTCCTATATTTACCAGTCTTTCACTCCTGATGGAGCAAAGGGTGCTTTGAGAGATGTGATAGACTGGGGTTCTGCTATACCTACTCTTCCCCTTGTGCATGAATTTGAACCAACAGAGAAATAGAGAACTAGGGCATTTATGTCTAACTGGGTACTTACATTTACCAAGAAACACATAATATAGGTTATAGTAAGGTGTAAATATCTTCATGTGCAATTACACGGTTGTTTGGCTTTTTGAAAAATCAGTCTCTCTCTCTCTCTCTCTCTCTCTATATATATATATATATTTCTATCAAAGTAATTGCTAGGAATGATCATTTCTTAGCACATTTTTAATATGATCTTTTTTCAGTAACAGTATTAAATAGAAGTATTTACTTGTAACAGTAAGACAGATTGCATTCAGACATCCAAGTGCTAGACTTTGCCTGACCAAAGTATTTCTAATTTTGCAAGATTATCTTTAGAATAATGGATGATGATGGTCCACATGTCCTCTCTGGGATTTTCTTTACTGAAGTAACAACCAGCTGATTAAAGGATCATGTTGCTTTTTATGTCTTCTAAAAAACTATTTTTTAAAGAACCATATCTAAGAAGTTGTAGGGTTGGTGTGTTGTAGCCATGATGGTCCAGGAAATATTCTTTTTGGTAGTATCTATCTTTTAAGGGTCCAACTTCATAGTTGGAAGAGATGTAAGACTTGCTTTCAGACCCACAGGCACGCTACTTTCCTAGACCTGAAGAATGTCACTTTGGCTGCTTACAGATGTAAAAAAACCAAAACAGTGCTTTACTTTAAACTTTGTGTGCTCCTGCGCCAAGCCCAAGCACATGCCCAGAAAAGGCATTGTTTTATTTGAACCCCGCTTGCCCAATGTCTATATAGATCAGGCACCTTAGTGGGGCTTTTTGGCACTTTTATCGAATAGCTGATTGAACCAGTTTTAGATAAAAGTGCCAAAAAGCTCCACTGAAGCACCTGATCAATACAGATGCTGTGGAGCCAGGTTGAAATAACTCTCTGCTTCTTCTGGTAAAGTGCATTTTTGGGTTTTTTTTTTTAAACATCTGTTCCTGAAAGCTTGGCTAACATCTGTCCCAAATATAGTTGGTCCAATAAAATATCATCAAAAACACTTTGCCTCACATAGGTACTTAAGAGTCCAGGGAAAGGCATATGTGCAAATAACTATTTCTATCTATCCAATCATCCATACAATATGTGAATAGACATGCGGTTGCATGCAGCTGTGTACCTGACTTTTGAAAGATCTGGCCCATAATATATAGATCAGTATATTATAATGTGAAGTTAGATGTGATTATGTATTGGCATATTTTGGCACAACTACCTTTTTGTGTTTTGTCCTTTGAATATATACAAACTTGAAAAAGGTATTATTAATGTGAATGAAATACTCAAAAGAACAGGACTACATTATGAATTATGTATTACAATGACTAGATATGTACCAGAATGTTAACTGAAATGTAGTGGATATGGAATAATACTTTGACCTAGAATATAGTAATGAAAATCCAGGTTACAAGCAAGAAAAAACAGATGTAAAACAAAGACTGTACAATAATGTTTATTGATTAATTGTATTTCTTCCTAGAACTCAACAGTGCTTATAATACATATGCTACAACTGTTTCTTTCTCCCTACAGTACTTGGGGTGCATAGAGGTCTTACGCTCAATGAGATCTCTTGACTTCAATACTAGAACACAGATTACAAGGTAAGACTTTCTGCCAATAAATGTACATAGTTAACTCTTTGGATTGTATCCAAATAGCCAAGCTTATAACTGAAGAAGAAAAAATATATAATGTAATGTTCAGATATTTGACCCAGTGGTATTTTGCATTTATGAGTGAATGTCTTAGATCTTCCAAGGAACCCAGCCAGAACAGGTATCAGATTCATACCATTCTCTTTTAAAAGATAAGTATATTCATAATGAGAATCTTTTTAACTGACTTATCATCTGTTTTTTTACCATCATAAAAATGGTTTTAGTTCTAACCCAGGCGGCACATTTTGATTTACCTTTTGGAAGCATAAATGATATTAGTTTATAATAGTTCAGAATGGCTTATTATAATTAAGCACGCCAGGTTTCTTTATGTGAATATTAACCAAACCTTGCTTTAATTTTTGTCACTGTTTTTTTCTGTACATTTTTTGCTTGCATTCTTCTTTATTAACAAGTTTTAAGACCCGACTCTGGCATTAATACTGAGCCATACTTGCTGATCTAAAGCAACATCATTGACACCTAGGGAATGTTATGTCTATTTTGCTTTCTGAATTTGTGGATGCTTTTGGCTTTAATTGTGAAAATGTACTTCTGGTTTTTTTCATTGAAGTAAGGCATATTTAACAACATGCTGGGCATTTTCTTGTGCCATTGACCATATGTGGAACACAGAAAATGTCATCAAGGAACAAAATACTGACTTATTTTCCTGTTTTGATTGCCATTTGCGATTATAGTTTTCTGATATTTAAAAAAAAAATGATGCTACATATGCAAATGCCTCATTGTGATCTCTTAGAGCCTAATCCAAAGCCAGCCAAAGTCATGAGAGCCTTTGGATGAACTTTAAAGCAGTCACTAAATTCTGAACTTTCATTTTGCTCATTCCACTCATCCTCAAAATACCTAATGGCTTGGATTAATGTCCATACAGGAGCCTACAACAACCTGTGCCTCATCTGGTCATTTAGTTTCTCACATACAAGCCTATTTCTTATTAAGGAATCATATTTCCCAAAATACAGATATCTGAGCTTCAGTCTTCATGGTCACTCACTGGCATTTGTATAGGAATGTTGACATATACATATGCATAGAACCAGAAACGATCAAGATCAGATCCATGTTATAGAAGGGAATCATGTAATTCCCTTCAGCAAATTATCATGCCCTGACTGCTTTACTCTGCCTTTAGTTACAAATCAAACACCAAACCTCCAATAACCTGTATTTACTCTAATTGTAGTACTTCTATGTTTTAGTCATAATGGGCACATCTACACATGCACATTTACTGCACAGTAACCTAAATTACTGTGCAATATGGATGCGCATATACATGTGCATGCCCATACTGCACAGTAACTATGGTGACTTAAGCTGATTTGTGCATAAATTTGATACCTGCATCATGCAGGTATCAAATTTATGCCCGATTAGTTACTGCACAGTAACACTGTGTGTGTGTGGATTGACTTGGGACTAACTTTAGTCCCAAATCAGACCATGCGCAGCATTAATACACCTTAATGCCTGCACGTGTAGATGCCACCTATTTGTGCTGCAGTAAATTTAATGTGATGTAAATGCACATGTAGACACATCCAATCTGTATAAAATCCTCTCTACCTTTCCCTTCATAATTTACTAAACATTATATGTGCTGTCGTGTTATGCCTGCCAAGTCAGGAATTGTCATTTTTGTGTGTGTTTTTTTTGCTACTTTTCTCTGTACCCTACAGAGCTGCGAAAAATTTCAAAATTCAAAAGCCTCAAAAATTGATAGCTGAATGTGTTACCCAATGATGGCATATTTAAAATAACATGATTTGGGGGTTGGGAGGGAGAGAAAAGTTTTGGATAATACCATATATTTGATCATCTATATTGTTTAGTGGAAGAAAAACAGACTTCTAATTCACTTGATGTTTCTGTTCATCTTTAGGGTCAAAAAGTAGCCTTGTCAAAAGTAGACTCACAGAGCTGAGTCAGGAGGCTCTGGCTCTGCTGTGGACTTTCTTGCATCACCTTGGACAAGCCACGCCATCTCTTTGAATCTCATAGGGTTGTGAGACTAATTAAATTAATAATTATAAACTGCACTTAAATCCTTTGATAGAAAGTACTATAGAAATGAAAACTATTAATAATATGACTAAGATTTTCAAAGCTGTCTAATGCAATTAGATACTGGAATTTCATTAGAAAGCATGGGAACTAGGTGGGAATTAGATATCCTAGATCACTTAAAATATCATCTTTATTATTAATCAGATAGTTAGACAGCTAGGTCCAGGTACAAGTAGGAACAAAACACACATGTAAAATTCTGACAGTGATTATAGGACCTGGCGTGAAACCCCAGGTTAAAGACGATTCATTTAGGGCAGTGGTCTTCAACCTGGGGGTCCATAGACTATGTCTGAGGGGTCCACAAGAGATGACTATGATCAATCAAAAGTATGTGAATACTCACACCTACAATTCAAAGGAGTCTGCACCTTGATTCAAAATTCTTTAGCGGTCCACAAATGAAAAAAAGGTTGAAAACCACTGATTTACGGGGATTTCTTCTCTTGTTGGGGTTCCCTGTAGAATACTTCTGCTATTTCACATTACTTTATTTGGTGCGTTATGTTCTGACCCTTAAATTGTTCCCTCCACAATTTTTACACATGTAACTATTAATTTTTTAATAACAAATTAACTTTTCCTGTTAAGTGAAGTCAGTGAATGGGTGAATCCCTTCACCATGCTGTTAGTAGGGTACTGAGAGCCATAGTGCTACCCAGAAAAATTCTGTTCCTGGATGTGGCTTAGAGAGAAATGAGTGGGTAATTATGAGTGTTTTTTCCTTCATCACTGTGGAATTCGAAGCTCTCAGCTTTTACTTGAGCAAGAGAACTAGAGCAGTATTGGTCACTTGTACTCTCCTTTTTCTTTCACAATGTTCATGTGAATCTTTGAACTGATAAATGGATATTCAAGCAAAAGTGTCAGCAAGTGTGAATCATAGTAAAATAAAAGGCAGTTGACTTCATAAAGTGCATCAATAACAATCCAAGGGAATTCTTGGCACCCATGAAGTATGTTAATTTGCCTGAGATAAACAGAAAAAAATCAGTTTCAACCAAGAAGAGGAGCAGGCTAGATAACTGAACTAAAAGCAGCTGGCAGCTGGTCCTGAATACACCATGGCACTCTCCACCATCACCACTAAAAGGGGCCTTTAAAGTTTTGTGGCCAGCCTATTTGTGTCAAACATTTTTATTTAAAAAAATCAGGTAAAAATATTTTTGCAACACATGGAGTGTTTACAGTTCATCTAATACATCAATGTCCACATCTGTATGCTCATCATTTAGTCTCTTTATATTATGAGTCTCAGCTACTGTTGCATGCTTGAGTGTATTATACATTAAACAGAATTATAATTATGTTGCATGCAGTTTGTCCTACTATAGGTATCTGAAGTACAAGGCTTGCATGCTCAGTGTTGTTGTTATCTAATTGAACTCAATTTCTTTAATGCATGCAACAGCTGAAAATCATACCTCACCATGCTGAGTGAAACATTGTGTTGCATGTTCTGTTAATAGTATGTAGATCACAGGATTGAAATAACATGTATTAGTGATGGGCCTGAATCCAATCCCCTGATACTAATCCCCTCCCTGAACTTCCTGGGGCTGAACAATTTGAAACTAGATCCTGACTGAAACTTTTTAGATGGAGCCTACCTTTACAAGGAACTAAATCAAAAGTTTAAGTGTGCACTTTTTCTCCCATGTTTCAGAACTGGCCTCAGGTCCACCATTAATTTATGTGGATGCTCACTAGATGCAGTATTTCTTTAAACTGTATTTATCTTCTTTGCAGAAACTCATTATCAACAAGGATCCCCAAGAGAAAGCCATTGGAAGAGAAGAATGGTTCCATTATAGCTTATGAAGAAAGTTAGGTAACATATGCTACGCAACACATCCTATACATGTTCCCAATCTTGTCTCCTCTTCCTCACCCCTTTTGCTTGGAAAGTGCCATAGAGAGTCACCAGTAGTTTCTGTACCACAGCTTTTGAAATTGGGATAGTGGTATAGAGGATTTGAATAGACCGATTGGAAATTCTGCACAGCTTGCCAAGGACCCCTTGCCTGCTCTTGTATAAGAAGCTTCTCTTCCTTTCATAGCTGTGCAGTTGCTGATCTATGAGGAATGCCAGGACTGCTCACTGCTGCTTTCCTCTCAAGGGAGGACAGCAAACCATAGATAGGGCTATACTCATAATCTGTAACAACAGACTAGGGCAGACAATTTGCTCTGCTTATGTGTACTCCTCATGGGCAGTGCAGCTCTTGACTACTCACTACTCAGGTTTCCAGTTAAAAGGCCACATTTGGGGCAATAATGCTCTTTAAGTATTTTGTGAACCTCCAATTGAAGTCTGAAGATTCCTATTAGTATAAAGTGCTGTAGTAATTTATTGTTCATGAGCTTCACAACCAGAAATGTGCTCAGTATGGAAATAGTGCCCACTACTAATATGTACCAGTAATCATGTATAGTATTTGGGTATTTAGTGATTTACAGTACTAGATACATGTACTCAATAAAGTAGAAGATACTGATGAGGAATGATTTTCATCTCCCCACATACATCCAGAAAGCAACATGAAAATATTACAAGAAAAAGATTATATATGCTTTATATATTCAGCATCTACTTTTTAATGGATTTTTAATAGCGATATGTTAATTAGTACGTGGGTTAATTTAACTAAAATATGGCAGCTCTATATTAATGAGAAAAAATGGCCAATCCATTCCTCACGCTTTTATTCTATTCTCTGTGAGGGGAACAAAGGCATGGCTAAGGATATGTCGACATTATTTTCATGATGCCCTTGAGGGGCAAACTGTAGGCAGCTTTTGGCCCAAATCCAGAAGGGCCTTGAATTCTTGTATCTGGACCTGCAGGGGGACAAAACACTGCTCTTGACCCAGGTGTAAACTGGTACTTGGTCATTCAGAATGGGGAAGCAAAGGCAGCCATACAGAGGGCTAACCACTTCACTTCCTTGCATGCTGAAATTGTCATGGCTAAACCATGATGACCTCAGAAATGTGATGGTGAAGCCAGTCTGGGAGTATCCTATGCTGGGGCAGTGTCTCAGCCATGCCTAAGACAGAGGTTTCAAGAGCAGCAATACCACTGCCCTTACTATTGGGTCATTTGATATGTATCTAGCTATGAGTTAGATACACTAGCTATGAGCAGGGATCTACTTAACTTGCAGCAAGACAAAACCAGTTTTGTGGCTTTGTCCTAACATGAAGAGCCCATTTTGCAGGCATTTTGTGATGGCCCTGCCCTTCAGTGGTCATTAGCGGAGGCCCCGCCCCTCATCACTGATTGGTGGAGAGGCCCCAGGGGAGAGAAGGGACAAGGGGGAAGCTGCCAACTTGACTGCTGGCTGCCCTTAGTCTTACCCTACCCCTCAGTGCTGATTGGTGGAGAGGCCCCAGTGAGGAGGAAGTGAAGAGGCAGCCACCATCTTGTCTGCTGCTCCCTTTGTGCTGACCTGCCAGCTGGTACCTTCCCTTCCCAAGAGGGCTGCAAGGCCCACCTGGTAGGTGAAGACTTAATAACTTTTTTTAAAGGGTTTTTTGTGGATTTTGTGGTTTCCGTGAAACCGCAATTTAGATAGGTCCCTAGCTATAAGTTAGATACACTACCTAAGACAGCTATCAGTTAGATGCATAGTTAAGTGTATCTAATCATTAGCAAGGTGGTATTTTTTCTCTGTATAGTATGCAGTCATAATCATGTATAAAGGCTATAAACAGTGTCAAGGACAGAGTGGGCAATTAGTTTTTGGTTTACTTTTTCAGATCCATCACATTTAAAGAAGCTTGTTTGCAAGAAACAATGCGTGAAGCTGAAAGGAAGAGAAAGAGGAATGGCTTTCTCTCTCACCATATAAGTTTACTACAACCTGGCTACCAGACCTGTTATTGCAGGCTTATTCTACAAACCCTCCCTTCTTCATGCTTTCCGTGACCTGTGCAGGCAGGCTAGTTTACATTCTTCTGGTTCAACTCCACTGTAAGCATTGCCTACCATGCCATTTTTCTGAGTCGGCTCACCTCCATGTGACTGCCTCCAGGGGCTCACTCTGCCAGTCATATCCCTAGGACCATTCCCACCTGCCCAACACTACTTCTTTTCACCAGCCTTTGAGCATTGTGTTCTCTACTCTCCATTCTGTTTTCATGAGCTACTTTTTTAACCCCCAGCCTTACCAGGCCAATTTACTTTGCCCCTCAGCCTTTAAAGTGTCACTACATGTAGTATGTACGAGCTAGCCTTTTTGGCTTCTTAACTGCTTGTGTTGTAAATGAACAAACACTATTCTGAGTATTAAATGTATTTGTGAAAACTTACTTTTGGTCTCTGTGGGATTTTTTTCAGAATTAAGCTGTTTTTAATTTTAATACAGACCTTGTTTCTCTGCAGCAGGTGTTAGCAAGTGGTAGTAGATTTGTTTATTAAGACGATTGGCAAAGAGAATTGTTCTAAAATATATAGGGACTGCCTGCTGCAGTTATCCAGAAATGTACAATTCCTTTCACTAAGAAAATTAATTGAATTGTTGGGGCAGTACTATAGTATACACATGTTTTATGCAATCTCAAGAGTAAATTGGATGCTTATCTTGCTGGGATCCTATGACCCCAGATGACTTCCTGCCCTTTGGGTGGGGGGCTGTACTCGACGATCTTCTGAGGTCCCTTCCAGCCCTGGTGTCTATGAAATCTATGAAAATCTTTTCTAACCTGTGAAGTCCCATGGCATAGGGGTTAGGATGGGAAAGATATACTTAGAAGTGTGGGGAAATGTGAATAAGAAGTTAAGTTTTTGGGTGGGCAATTTAACAGACAAATAACTATACCTCTGCCTTGGGAACATCTTGTTTGAGAGGAAGAACTTCCGTTGGACTTTAGTAGGTGGATTAGGCCAGCAATCCTACTGGTGAAATTTGGAATACATGAAATGACTTGCACGATTG